ACGGGGATTCGAACCCGCGACCTGCAGATTGCAAGTCGAGTGCCCTAACCGCCTGGCCATGCTGGGCCCTTTATTTGATAGAAAAACATACTTAACTTTCAAAAAGTCTATGCATAAAATCACATGAGCTGTTGGTCTGAAAATTTATTACAGCTTCACCTAAGAGTAAATGTTGATTCTTTTTAGTTTTTGTCATTTGGATTAAAGACAGCTGATGTAGAGCAGCAAAACTATAGAGTGAAAGCACATGTAGATACATAAGTATTGGTTAGACCAAGCAAACTAGATTAGCAGTTTCTAGCTCAAGTTTTCAAAAAAATCGTATGGGTGAATGATTATTATTCATTATTCATTGGCAACTGTTAAGCAAAATTTTGCTAAATTATATGAAATTCTCCTAATTAAAGAGCATTTAGTGTCACGTGATATTAGCTTAAGCATATAGTGCAAATAATGATGTTTCATACAGCTGTACTGAGTACATGTGGGTGATGACAAGAAACTGTTAATCTAGTTTCCATGGCATTATTATAAAAGATGTTATTAACACTGTTTTAGAGAGGAAAAATTACAACCATCTATTTTAAAGAATATAGTTGGTTCTCTATAGGTCTGTTCCGAGTAATAGGGTTGCAATCCTAAAGCTAATTTAGGTTACTTTCTTACTTTTATGGTTTGTTGGTGTGTAATGACGAAAAGTCGTGATATCTAATCAAAAACACCTTAGGTGTGACAAAAAGATGCACCCAAAAAAGGATTGAGCATGTGACTTAAAGGAATGAAATCAAAATTGGTGACCAAACTGGTAGCTACATTATAGCATCGATAAGAATTTTACAGCAAATATTCATTCATTAGTTAGCCAGGCCACGTATTTTGTTTTACTCACCAAAATGCCCCAAGTTGAACAAAAACACAGCCTTCGTAACTAATGAATGAATATTTGATGTAAAATTCAATGCTATCAATGCTATGAGTGTAGCTGAAAGTTTGGCTGCCAGTTTTGATTTCATTCCTTTAAGTCACATGCTCAGTCCTTTTTTTGCCACACTTTTTTTTTTCATATCTAATGTGCTTTTCTTTAGATCTATATCTTAGATAAGTAATCAGCTTTGATTGTTTTATAAATATGGGCATTAGAACAAGTATTAGATAATATAATAATTTTACACTCTTTTTAAATTAGGCAGACATTGAAAAATATACAATTCTGACAGTCTTGGACACATAGGATATGTAATGTCTAGAAATACAAATCATATATGTGATAGCCATACATACACAAAAATATTTTGTAAATTATGGTGAATGTGTGATATCTTAGGGTACACAAATTTCCTATTAAGCTAATCACATAGGTTCTGCAAATTAACAAGAGATTTTCAGCAGAAAATGTCATGCAGGTGTAGTTCTTAATTCCAGGACTTTCATTGATGTTGAAGAATGACAGAAACTGAATATAATATGTAGCAAAATGAAGCAATATTTGTTCACAAACCAGACACAATCAAAGTTAAGGAGTATGTATTTGAGTATGAGAGATGACATCATGTCTGGAGCTTTGACAGCTCTCAATGAAGTGGTAGGTCTCTTTGAATATATGTGAAGAAGGTTTAGAAAATGGAAAATTATGTACATTAGACAACTTGCTCCTGGCTGTGGCACTTTATGGCTGGAATCTGCTTGAAGGTCAAATATGGTGTGATTTTTGTAAGGGGCACGGTGGGTAGCTATAGCTTTTCTGGCCACAAAGACTGGGTGCAGGGTCACTTGATGTGCAATGGAAGGATGATGGCTGATCTTCATGCTCTGACATTAACAGCAGAAGCTGTGGGATATTTCCCCACTGATTTTCAGACCAATAACACCTGACTCCCTAAACCTTTCTAACACTTGAACTATGAGAAGAGTTCAGCTCCAGGAAGGTATTCTATGGTTTTGAGATATGATGTTCCCACCAGAGATGGAGGCATATCAGGTGACAGTGTCTCTTCTCCACAGAATACCTAATAATATGAAATATCATAACCTTGTACAGGAATCCCAAAGGTTCAGCTGGTGCTGGTTTATCATGGGTCAGCGTTAATTCATTGTTCAGTAGTGGACACTTGGCTGAGAGAGAGGGGTAAACTGGGCTCCATCAGCTTGAGGGTCATAGCAAGTGACTCAGTCCTCAGGCTTCCCTTTCTTGGCAGCTTGGAGGCTGTTGTCCATTTCCTTGTGGTCTTTGTTCTTAGGCTCTTATTCTGTCTGGCTAAACATCAGGTCAGCTTCTGGGGTCTTGTGGACTACAGAGTACTCAGAAACATTAGGAAAGTCCTTGAAGAGAATTTTTTCAGGATAATTTTCCTTTTTAGTACATCAATTTTTCTAGAAAGACAGCAATAAAATTGAAAATGACTACACAACCAGCTAATTGAGGAAATAAGATAGCCAGAAGGGTTAGGTACTAGGTCTTAAATAGAAAAAAACGATTGAAGTATAAGGTCAAATAAATTGTGTTTGTCAGAAATTCAACTAGAAGTGTAGGTTTAAAGTTGTAATGGCATGGTTATAACAATCCTCTGGCCTAAAGTTGGTTTTATACATAGTGTGTGAAACTATTTCTGTGGTAAAGTGACATTTCTACTGACTTTCTGTGTACTCATGTGTATATTATATGTATACAGTATATCCCTTGCACCTTTGGACATCCTTGTTCCCAGGCTTCATCAGGTCTTGTGTTTGACCTACACTCAGCTGTGCTGTCCACTGCTTGTGTTGCAATGATAACAGATATCCAAGAACTCAGGTTACATTCCTTTCACTACTTTCTGGTTGTTATAAACATAGCCTAGGTCCAATAGAAAAGAAATGAGGGGCATAGATTGCATGATTACTATACAAGTAACCAAAACAAGCTAGCTACCATACAAGTGCCAACCTTTACCTTCTGATCATAGGAATCCATTAACACTGTTACTTCACTTCCTATCAGACTCCTTTCAGGTACAAGTTTAGTAATTCCAAAGGGAAGTACAAAGCAGCACCATGTGGGTGTTACTTTCTGCCTCCAGCTTTACACTTCAGTCTGCAGTTTCAAGCATTTCAACTTTACTTTGTACTGAAATAATGTTAAGGAATTATTCAGTAAAACTGTATGCTCATAAATTATTTTAATTTCATCCAGTTGAAATATCATTTTACTACTATCAAAAACACTAGATCAAATTGTGATTCCCTCAAATGTAGTGTATGCTTACCTGTTATTGTTACCTCTTGAGCAAAACTCCACTATCGGCCAAATGTTTCACTGTCAAAATTGATACATTCCCTCACCAGCATTAATGAAAATATCAGAAGCACTTTATATTCAATATTACTTGACTAGTCAGTGCTCAGAGTTTGCTCAATATCTCAACACTTAACAACCAGATCAGATCTCATATTTTACAATTCATATGTTGATTAACAGTGTTCTCAATGTAAATGATGCATTTGTATTAGAAAAACTCATTAATGACTTTGTTTAATGTTTATATACATGTGCTATGCTACACATGTATTGCCGTATACATATTACTTAATGTTACATGTCATCACACACGTATTACTAACTTTGGACAGACTGCACC